GAGCCATAGGATATATATAATAGAGCCTAACCAAATGAAATGGCTTTGTATAGAGTGCAAAAATAGATAACTTAAATTGAGGGACGAATAGTCTATAAGAAGTGAACCCAAGGCCCTGCCCGGTAACTCCAACACCCTACGCGACGCAAGGCCAACAAGCCGTCCAATCTCGAGTGCTACAGTAAACATCAAACAAGGCTTTCTGAGGCTAAGGACGGATAATCTGCTGTTGCGTCGTATTATCTGGGCTCTCCATGACACAAATCTATTATGAAGACTTTAATGTTGTTTCCTAAAATTCACACAGCGTCAATCTGTAAGTTGGAATACTCTTCCTTAGTTGTCAAGATGCAGTTCGCCCATGCCTATAAGATGTCTGCTCGGAAGTGTTTAGAACCGCTAGCCAGATTGATTGGAGGTGCTGTGTAATAAGTGGTGACGACGATGTGTATTGCTGCGAGAAGGGGACAATTTGGTAGCGCAATGGAAACTACTGGCTTTTTCTTCTCGTGTGACTCGGCTGGTAGCTGGAATATGCTGACAAACTGGTGCAGCTCTCGGTAGGTGATGATATCAGCGCCACTTGAGGCTCGTAGAGTTGGTTTATTAACACGGCTAACTGGCTGTGCAGAAGAATTGTACAAATTATTAACTATCTCCGAAATCCCTTTGAATAGAATGAGCAAGATTGCCACCACTGCGCGCCGTAATATTATCTAGGAGATATTTGTAGCTTCGGGTGTAACACTTATCGAGCGATAATGCTGTCCATGGTCCGGACAGCTCTTTCAATGAGTTACACAAGTGACGAAGGGATTGAGTAGATGGCTCATTCGTAATTATAATCAAGGCTAAGGGATAAGGTTTGTCAAGATCCATAGTCCGAAGGGACTGAAAATGCCGACTTTGCCCAAACCTCGTCTATGGCGGGTCGTACAGTTTCTGCAGCAGAGCTGGTGTTGTATCTCAATCCGTCTCTCGATGCATTCTTGGTGCGAGTGAAGCTGATAGGTTCTGGCTGTCGAAGTTGCTAGTGTAAGTATGAATCTTGTGCTTCATTACGCAGCATTAATGTGGTAATACATATATACCATGCAAGGGGCCCCGCGTTCTCGATATCGAGTAGGTCGGAGGTGAAACTTCAACACATCAAAAATATACCACCATTACTAGAGCTAAGCTCTTAATTACCACTTCAAGTTAAGCTGGCTCTGAGGTCAGGCTGAATTCAGGACGCAGATTTCGAAGCGAAGCGACCTGGGCTCGGGCTGAAAAGTTGTAGAACCAGCCCAGTAAGGGTTCTCTACTTGAACTACATCTGGAAACACGTCATTATTTTAGACCCCGCTTAAAATTTTAACATGGAGGAGCCCTACCTGCGTGAATGCATGCCCTGAGATAACTCTGTTTTCGATATCCTAAATATTTGATGACGCTTATCTCTATTCCTATGCACCGATTATTGGGCAAAAGATAGATTGTCAACAACAACCATCTTTCCCGACAAGCGTCCTGTGTGGGTACCACCACCGCTGGTAGTTTCAGAGACGAGAGCTGCCGCCTCGCTGGGGTGTAAATTGGCTGACCGTCGCTGTCACGGAGTTGATCAAAGCCATAAAACCCTGGTCGAGAGAGCAAGCGATAGCGGTAGGAGAGCAAAAGTGACATGAAGCAGCGATTATCTATTCTGGCTTAAGGACCCTCTTCAAGAACTTTCAGAATATTGGCGTCTCCATTCTCACTGAGAATAAAGGCCTTCAGCGTCTGATTAAGTGATCCTGTCAGTGATGGAGCCAGGAGGGTCCCGTTTGCAGCGTATAGCGATGCCACCAATCCTCGCGAGCCATGCGAAGCGGAAAATTATTGAAACGAAGAGATGCTGGAGCGCCAAAATCATTGCGTTCTACTGAAGGGATCGTAGTGTTGACATCAACATCCGCTAACCGGATTATGCCGCCGAGAGCAGGCTTCCCAGGTCCAAGTTACCTGGAGGGTTCTAAAATCACTACAATAGCTTGGGTCTAGGGTATGCACTTTCAAGGTCAAAACATGTACGGCCACACAGTCGACCGTGATCTAAATGGTCTATCGTTGACTGATGGTACACCCACAAGCGCAGAACCTGCACCGATGTTGAAGCATGCTGCAAGAGCAGCTGCTACGAAGCCGTCTAACCTCCTCAAGGTGATTCAATTGTGACTAGATTAGGGGATTGTTGGCGTTGTTATCGCCTTCGTAATCTTGAATGTTATCTGATCACCTGGCTGATTATTGGCAACGCCTTCTGGAAGATGGTTTCAAACTATTAACATGATATTCAATGCCAGTATAGGGATAAATCCGTGGACGCACGTTGAAAGGATGTGCTGTGGCCGAACAGACGGAGCTAGTCTCGACCAACGTTGGTCGTATCCTCATCTATTTATCGTATTGCTCGCCACTTCCGTTGACTTGCTCTACGTCGTATAGAATACGACGCTCAAAGTAAAGAGCTAGCTAGACTTCCGCCTCAAACACATATAGAAGGAAAATGACTTGGCTGATACCTTGGCCATGGCAAGTAGGATAAACGTCAAGGAAACGTACATCAGTCCAGGCTAGATAAATCGTTAGGGCAACCCAGTTCCAACTGATCCCTTGGCCAAATTATCCATGCAGCATAACCTGGGTCAAGCTGCTCCGCGATGCTCTCCAAAATGCGATAACCCCACCCTCGCATATACCAAAAGCATTCTAACGTTTGAACCAGTACAGAAAAGTAAGCTAGTAGAACTAGAACTTGGGGATTCAGTTTCTCGACCTGCTTTGTAAAGTCATCTTCTAAGAACCATAACCATCGCATAACGACATGCATTTTCCCATGCGTAACATCTTGAGGCTGCTCGGCGGTTCCAAAGACACCACTAAAACAGCATATAAGAGCCTCACAAATTTCGACTAGATTTGGAAGCCCTGAGGATTGAGAATAGTGAATCATCATACTCAAGTCGGCGAGAGGCTTTTCCCAAGCGATGTATCCAGCTCTACCCACGGGCGGTGGTACATTTGACGTGGTTTCCGGGGGAAAGGGACCAATAGGACCTGAAAATATCGCCGCTAAACCCATGGTCTCTATGACGAAGCGAACGCCACGAAAGAGATTCCACCAAGCGGTTTCAGTCGCATCACGTTGAACAAGGAGGTGGCCATTTTTAGGTGGCTTTGCAAAGGCGTAGTTACAAACAAGTACAGTGGCAATGTATAATGCTGAGCAATTTTCTCGCTTGATTTGAGGAAGCAAGTTGGTAACATGAGATAGAGCTATAGAGTGATGTTGCTCTGCCAATTGCTCATACTTGGTTGCTTCCATGGTCCGAAGTCGCGCTAGATGGAGCGCAGAAAGAGCGAGCATCAGGTGAAGGATATAAGGATTGTCGAAAGCGAGGCGTGGGATTTTATCACGCCACATGACGTCATCTCCAAAAGTGAGTGAGGTCACGGTAATGTAGTGATGATAAAGTCGAAGATCGTCAACATTCAAAGGCAAGCTTTGCTGGCTCGGCGTCTCGGGCGAGGAGAGCTTGGGGTCGATGGGAACTGGCGCTAAAGCTTGGGTGGAAGTGTCGGGACTTGATGCCCACTTAAGGGGCCGGCCTCGTTTGCGTGAGCCAGTAGGAACGACCAGTGTTTTTGTTCCTGCATTGCCTGCGGAATCAAAGCTGCAGGGCAGCGAGAGATGAGAGCATTTTTTGCAGGCCGGTTTGTTCTCATCACACTATGTATGGCATGAGATCTTGTTGGGAGACGACAATGGTAATGGGGGTTAGAGAAGCAACTCAGACTAACCTTGATCCTTCGCTGCTTGCAATTTTGGCAGCCATTTCGAGACTTCTTGTGCGATCTGCGTTGGGCAGGACGACAGGGACAGCGAGATCCCAGAGCATGGGCATGTTCAGTCTCTTGAGTCTTGCTCATTGTGATACCAGGGACCGATAGCAGATTATACTTGCTTATTGGACATCTGATAATGATATTAATTTTTTGGTCGTTCTAAGAGTTGGGAGGCCACACGCTAGGGCAATGGATCAACTAAGCTCTACTGGCTGGATGTAAAAGTGCGATGAAATTTCAAACGCTGATGAGAGGGCGCACTATGGAGCAGAGCTGAGTCAAGCCACCGAGGATGTAGGACGCTAATTGGTTACTGGCGCTAGGATCAATAATCTAATGCATTTGGACCCATAACTCAAGGCCCTTGAGTGGAGAGGATCACACACCAAACCTAATGCAGCCGCACCCTGCATTTGTCGTATTTGATACGATGCCCCACAACCCCGATTGCCAGTGTAATGTCCTCAAAAGATGGAGATCAAACCTAAAAAGTGTCATCCTGAAAATGCAGTTTTGCTCTCCTCGGTGGAAACTATAGGTTGGGTTTTCAAGTTACCCACATTCAATATCGGTCCCTTTCCTTGCGGACTCTGATGTCGTCATTGTAAAGCATGACGACAGCCTGAGAGTCCTCAACGCATTGTGAACAATACTACTTAAGTCGAAGCTTCGCCACCATGTCTTACGGTTATCGTACCGAGCATCTCCAAAGCATCATGGTTTCCGCTTCCGACATTGCGAGCCGTTGCGCGGCCTCTACTTTCGCGACTCCAACACTCTTCGGGGCGCTGTATTTAGGTAGGTATTTAGGTATTCGCCCGGGGAGGCACACCCCAGAGGGCCTTTGTACTAAGCTCTTTCCGTTTTGTACCAGATTCCATAATCACCCAAAGCCCCACAACTTTCACTTGGAATGACTGATCCAATCTGGTGTATATGCCATGACAGGCCTGCTTGAAAGCCATCACGATGGTTGTGATCCTTGCCCTTGATAGCACGAACCTAGCAGTGATATGCGACACTCGATGAGTCTAGCGGCTGTTAAATCTGACCACATGGTTTAACAGCCGCTAGACTCATCTTGGAAACCCTTTACAGCATCACGGTCATGTCGACGGGCGATCACGTGGGTTCGTGACATTAATCCTCGATCCCATCAATTCAACTCTTGCATGGGAGATTGGTATAGGTTACCTAGGCTGGCGTCGGTAGTCACGGTGCCATATCCGTCCGTCACTGCGCCTGCCATGGCCGCCTATGAGATTGCGAAGCGCCTGGCAACCCAACCTCCGCCTCCAACAGCTTGTAGTCTGCCATTCCAGTCATTCGCAGGTAGCCAAGATTCAACCTTGACAGTATCATCTTTACCATAATGCGTATAGGATACCGTTATGTTACAGAACGTGATATTCTGTACATTAGTTGATGGTTAGGAAAATCGCCATCCTTTTGGAACATCATAACTGAAGTTGGAGACGAGATTGGCCTCAAGGGACAGTATCTTGGTACCGAAGACCTGGGGCGTCGAGAATGTTGAGGCCAACAGGGCATCGCAGCAGCAAGAGCAAACGGCATGAGTTATGAAAAGGAGAGGAACTTGAAGATGGATATTGTGTGAATGAAAGAACATTCAAGACTCATCGTTGGGATTTGTTATCACATATATATCAATGATACTACATATCGTAAGAATAACCTTGGCAATATCGGGGCAGGTCGCCGGGGATGCCCTGTTGATGTGATAAAAATGGCAGGGGAGCCTGTACTGTAGTTAAGTGTGGCCATGGCGGGGGCCACAGCCGGGTGGCGTCTGAGAGGGGATTAGGCGAGTTGTTCCTAGAGCTGTGACTTCGGTTCTGAGTCAGTGTTGTAGAGTCAGTTCCCCGCTTGCCTATCCTCCGTCCTGATCGTCATCGCAAAGCCTCCTATTTCTCAGAACTGAGGATTGAGGAGAAAGTCCACTAAAGTTGTTAGGTTCATAGCCTATTTTATAACGGCTTAATCTTGCTCTTCAATCATAATTGTAATAACGTATCACCCAGTTGCCTCTAAAACCAACAATTCACTGTCACGCCCACACGAGCCTGCTTTTCTCCGCCGCGGTCTATTTCCACTCAAGCTTCAGCATGTCGGCCTTACTTTCTTTAAAAACTGAGCCACCATCAGGGCTAAGCTTTTTGCGGCTCTCCTATGAAAGGAAACATGTTCTTCTAGCTCGTATGGATCGTCCTTCTTCCCTAAACGCCCTTTCTTCAGAGGCCCTGCGAGAGCTTGATTCGGTTCTAGACTGGTACGATGCTGAGCCTACTCTCCACGTCTTGGTCGTTACCGGAACAGGGCGAGCATTTACGGCTGGCGCGGATCTCAAAGAGTGGCAGCGTACACTGGAGGGGGGTAAGGGAGAGCAGTTTGGCGTGCGAGAAGGCGTCACTCCCTTCACGCGCCGAAAAGGGAAGAAGCCTATCATTGCAGCTGTCAACGGCTTTGCTTTTGGCGGTGGGTGCGAGTTCGCTGTCAACTGCGATCTGGTTGTTGCTGCAGACACGGCAATCTTTGGTCTCCCCGAGGTTAAACGCGGACTGGCCCCTACGGGCGGGGCCCTCACACGGATCGTACATACTGCCGGGATGCAGGTGGCTTCTGAGATTGTCCTCACGGGGCGACGGCTTTCTGCACAGGAAATGCAATCGTGGGGGATTGTCAACAAGGTGGTTCCTATGAACAAGGTCGTCGACGAAGCGTTGCGCTATGCATCACTGATCGCAGAGAACAGTCCTGACGCCATCGTTTGTGCGAGAGCCGGCTTGCGGCAAGCTTGGGAGACGGCAAATGTTGAGGAAGCGACAGAGCAGTGGTTCCGGCAGTACTTTAGCTTGCTTGAACAGGGTGAAAACATACGTGAAGGTCTGGCTGCCTTTGTGGACAAAAGATCCCCTGTGTGGATGGAGTCAAAGCTATAGCTATCATTCAATTTATTTTTGATGAGCTCAATTGACAATCCCTCCTAACGTCATAAACGAACGGACCATGAAGCTTGATCAAATGTGCTGCATAACAGTTAACTCTGGAAGCGGGAAAGGGTCCATGAATTTTCATTTTCTGAGCTCCGTTTTAAGGTAAATCTTTTCTCCCCGCTATATTTATTCTTACATTGGCCTATCTTACTGTCTCCTTTGCTTTCCAATAGGATAGTATGTCAGAAAGGCCTGTATATAATGACCATCTATCTAGGCTTACAGCTTTGAGGGATCACTGAATTGACCCTTATGGAAGACATGTCGAGGCTCGCCATAGTTTCTACATGCAGATTTCAGTAGCAAAGCCGTCAATACAAAGTTATCAAGCTGCTGCCATGTTCTTTCAACTGAACTTGCGCTGGAAAAACTTACTGAGTTCGGCTGGCTCTTTCGATCGTGGAGATCTCTGCCGGAATGACTTTCTTGGCAGATTTGTAGGCTGATTTGATCAAACTCGATTCGATTTTGCCTAGCCGGGTAAATAGACCCGCCGCGGACCCTAGGCACTGTTCATTTCTGCGTTTCCGATTGCCAAGTGGAAGATGTAGCATGTCTGGGGGAAGGGGCAATACGTCGTGCCATCCATGATCTGACCCATCAGTGTCTGCAATTTTATTCGTCCCCGCATTCGTAGCTCGCGGATCGCGCCTTGGCATCTGACTCAACCCACCTGACTCAGTTTCAAGGTCCGGCTCCTAACTAACCAAAGCCCTAGATTGTCAGCCTCCACATGCCGAAAGGAGTCCAACGCTAGCAGATTACCCCACATTTTGTTTCTACTCCAGCCGAACATGCCATGGGTCTCGCTGGGTCTATTTCTATCCACCCTTGGTGGTATCGCATGCCTACTTAAAGTGAGTCCTCGCGGCAGGCACTATTTGCTATTCCCTTCTCTTTCTGGTACGCTACAAATACTAAGCCTTCCATTTAGCATTATCCACGCTTGGAGAACGCAAGCAGCCCTTGAAAAAACGTGATGGCGCCGCATAATCACCCCTCCGCCTCCGATGCCGGTTGCATACCAGAGGACCATCGCTGCAGCCCTGCCGGCTTGGAAGGGAAGCGTGCCGACGAGTTTTTCGATCATGTACATGCCGAAAATGGCAGTATGTACGAGGCTCTCAGCGCGACAGAACAGAAGAAAGTAACGTACGTCTAGCGCCCGCGTCTACTTCGACTAGATTAGTGATTGGGTAGTCCGGTATTGCTGACGTTGATACATCAAGTCGCCAGGTAGACCTTCGACTTTTGCCAATCCTGGGTCTCATGTACTCTATCTCGCTGATCGATCGAACCAACTTGGGCCTTGCTCTTGTCGCTGGTATGCAGGAGGAGCTTGGGCTCGCTGTGGGAAATCGGTATACTGTCATTGTCATGGTTTTTTTTGTTGCGTATATGTGAGTCTGCTTTCTCGTCTCAGGTGAATCCTGCGTCACTGGTATTCGCAGCTAATCCCCTGTAGTCTCTGCGAGATCCCCAGCGTACATTCACACCTTTCCATGGTTACTACTCAACCAGATGTCGCGGCTAATACTGCTTGACTAGAACCTCATCCTTCCCAAAGCAGGCCCGGCAAATTGGCTCGCGTTTCTGGGTCTAAGTTTTGGGGTTATCCTTATTGGAATGGGCTTCACCCACCACTGGGGTACAATGGCTGTCTGCAGAGCTCTTCTTGGAGTGATGGAAGCTGGCTTTCTGCCAGGTGCGTAGCTTCAGATCCTTGCCCTCCCCCTACTCAATTGCTGTTTTGCTAAAAGGGGGGCAATAGGATGTACTTATCTTATCACCTGCTGGTATACCCGTTTCCAAGTAGGCAAGAGGATGTCTGCCTTTTGGATTCTCTCGGTCATCGCGAGCGGTTTCGCCAATATCTTAGCCTTTGCCCTCAGCAAACTTGGAGGCCAGGCCGGACTGAGCGGTTGGAGATGTAAGGTTACCCACTTTTTACACCCATGACTTTTCTTCTTTGACTTGCGACTTCAGCCCCGAATCCTCCCCTCTTTGTTTGTCCATTTTCACACGAGGTCAAGGCTGGCTCAGACTGACCCGCCCGAAATAGGGATCTTTATCATTGAAGGTGCTGTCACCTGTGCAGTCTGCATTGCGGGCCGGTTTATCATTGTCGACTTCCCTAGCAGGGCGCACAAGTTTCTGAGTCCCTCTGAACAGGAATTTATCATTGCGCGACTCAACAGTGATCGCGGAGATGCAGTCGAAGATAAGATCACCATGGCTGTAGTCTTAACTCATCTTAAGGACTGGAAATTATATTTTTGGGCCTTTAACTTGATGGCTTCGACTTTACCAGGTTATGCATATAGCTACTTCCTCCCTATTATTCTTCGCGATGGCATGGGGTATAGCCGGACAAACTCAATGCTGCTAAGCGCGCCACCCTATGTTCTTGCTGCTGTCATGGCCCTGTTCTCTGGATGGTTAGGCGATCGATTGAAGATGCGAGGCCCCATTATTGCAATACACCAGTTGATCACAGCCGCGGGTATGCTGACCACTGTGTATGCGAATACAAATGCAGTCAGGTACTTTGGCGCATTCCTCGGTGAGTCTTCTCTTTGTTCCATCGCAAAGCAGTTTCCTGACGAATGTTTTCCGAGCTTAGGCCTCGGTTTCCTCCAGTTCTGTGTTCCAGGAGTTCTATCATTTCAGGCCAACAATATCACATCTCACTCCAAGAGGGCAGTGGCCTCGGCGACTTGCCTCATTGGTGGTGGCACAGGTGGCATCATCGCTAGTGTCGTGTTCATGGCCAAGGAGAGCCCTCTCTATACCGTAGGTCAAGCCTCCTCCAAGCGATCAATTGATAGTGCAATTGAAACTGATGCTTGAAGCTAGAGCGGCGTGTGGGTAACCTTCGCAATGTCGATGATAAGCATTGCCTTAATCATCATCATGGACCTGTACTTTGTTCGGCGGAACAAAGCAGCCCGGGAGGCTGGGCGCCTGAATGAGGGTATGGATGGGTGGATGTACACCCTTTAAGACGTTCGGAGGTTCATAAAGCTTCATCTTTGCCATAAATCCGCCTGCAGTCTATGAAGAGCCCCAGTCACTAGTGTGAAGCCTTAACAGCTTAAAACATAATGCGCCTTTTACAATCCCCTTGCCGTACTTCCCTGCGTGAGATTTCTCAGTGAATAAGATCAGTCACATACTTGGCAAAATAATAACACTAATATGATATATAGTATATAAGAGAATTATAGTACTAGCCTTAACCTAGAATTATATTACTTATCTCCTATTACTACTGTTATTAATATTTTCTATTTAATTTAGTACTTTTTTATTACCAAATATATTACAATCTTTAAATAAAGATAGCATCTTTCTTACTCTTTGAGCTATTTAAAACGTCTAATATATTAAAGATATCCATTATATTAATTACTATATCTTATAATACCGCTAAAATAGTATTTAATTCGTGGGACGGTTGTATTTCTCAAGGTAATACACTAGTCCGTACTGGGTGTATGTTGGTAGAATTGCAGGGTGCGATACAGAGCGGTAGCGAAGTGTCACGTTTCTTAATAGTCAATAGAGCGGGTGAGGCTTATTGAGGTAAAGAGGTCTTATTGATAGCTGGTGAACTAGAGTCTATGAAAGTGCTAAGGAGTGTGGTTTATATACTTGAGCGTGGTTACTGGATCAGTGAGGTTGTCACGGATCAGTGCTAATCGGCGGATCTTGTTGAATAACATCATGTATATAGCTTAGTCAGAAAGCGATGACCATTGGAGAATTATCGCTGAAGCATCGGCTA